AAGAAGAAGAAATTTTGGGGTGGAATGCCATCCAAATAAGCTCAGAACACTGCTGCAAGGGGAGGGAGAGCTCCTGCCTTCCCCGAAATAAATTTTCCTGTACTCAAACAGCACTGGAGGGGGTTATTTCCCCATTTTTGCTTCTCCAAGTGGAGCAGCAAAAACAGGGAAATAACTCCCCACACACAAGTGCAGGAAAACTACTTGGGGAGGAAGTAAGGAGCCCTTCCTCCCCCCATGGTGGCATTCTGAGCCTCTTTGTATAATGTTTCAACCCAAAGTTACTTCATTTTTCTTCTGAGCCCGTTCTAAGCCCATTATTTTTCAAAAGGCAAAGACCTGCAGCTGTTTTGTAGCTGTGGAGAACTCAAGTTGGTTTTGGGGAACCCTGGACCCAACTTGTGAAAAACATAGTTTGGCTCTTAATTAATCTCCCTTGATTCTGAAAAGGCTTTTGATTGCCTGGAATGGTAATTTATTTTCCAAACATTAAAAACATAGAATATCTTAGGTAACTTTCTAGCAATTGTTGCAACAATTTATAATCAACCAAGAGCAATACTGACTAATGGTCAATTATCTCAAACCTTTTGTATCATTTTGTGGCACACAACAAGGATAAACATTATTAGCAATTTATTTATATTGAAACTTTAGCTCATATGATCAGAGAAAACCAAGAAATAAAAGAAGTGTCAAAGAAATTAAGGTTAGCCTCCACACCGATATAAAGTTATCAGTAACCGATCCTCTAAATTCTGTAAAGCAAACCCTGACTTGCTGCATTGAATATGGTTCTGCATCAAGTTACTGATTAAGGAAATCTAACTGTTAGGACTAAATATAGAACAACACACTAAAGAACTAATCTTTGAAACAACAGGGGGAAATATTTGATTACCCCAACCAAATATTTAGGGATTTGATTATTTTCAAAACTGTCAGATTTATATTAAAATGATTATATTGAAGGTCAGGTATAAAAAAGATGATGAAATGGAGTACTCTACAACTATCTTGGCTAGATAAAATAGCAAGTTTTAAAATAATGCTGTTGCCAAAAAATCTTGTTTGTATTTGAAAATGCACTAATTATATACCAATTAAAATTTAAATATTTGACCAAGTGATATTTTGAAGTACATATGGTCCAATAAAAAAATCTAGAATTGTTTTGTCTTCTTTGCAAAGGCAACAACTAAATGAAGGAAAGAAGCTGTTAAATTAAAAATATTATATATATGACTTTACACAGATAGAAATATGCCTTGGTATGTTTTGAAGCAAGAAAGTTTGGATTCCTCTGTGTTGGATCCCCAAGCATCGAGAATAAATCCACGTTTAAAGAAAAGCAAAATTTATTTCAAAGCGTTGGAAAGACACTCAAACACGTTCTTTGTTAGAACTGACTACAAACGGTTAGGGCAAGCATAATAAAGGGATTTGAAACAGGTACAGAACCAATGGGTCACGTTCCCGCTGGCGGGTGAAAGGAAACGGTTGCGCGCTCATTCCCTGAGAACCAGGTTATCTCCAGACATAATACAAGTGCAGTTCCCAGGCTCTAAAAGCAACAAGCTGGCAATAAGCGTACTCCCCCAATACATCCTCCAGTTGTTTGGCTTAGGCATTACAGCAGAGTAAAATACAGGCGCACAGACAGGGGGGGGTGTTAACAACTGTACAGAGATACAAGCAACACAGAACACCATGGCAGCTTGCTGACACTCTGCATTACTAAAAATTTTATGGAGTGTTTAAAATATTCTAATGAACTGATAGAAGAGGTTTTGATAACCTGGGACAAATTGTGAATGTATTTAAGCCCAACTATCTCCAGTATTTTACTTTTAATTCTGAGTTTCAAATAATGAAGCCATGGTAAAGTTGGATGTTAAATAACTGTACAAGATTTATAGATTGGATAACATCAGATCAGTGTGCTTCTATGGCATACTTAAGAGAAACGAATATTTATATTAAGTGGTTCCAGTTCTTTCAACTAAAAAAGTATATAGACACAAAAGAGGAACAAAATCTTTGCATTAGTATAGCAGAATCTGAAACTTTATTACATAAAGTATCAAGAAACAGCAAATAAATTGACTCAATTTTATAGATGTCTGTTAAAACGTATACCTACAAAAGAACCAACTTTTTTAGAATATGGGAAAATTTGTTTCACTGAAAAATATCAGAACATGAATGGTGTACAATATTTATAATTGGCCCAGTTTAAACCATACGTATTAGTGTGACTGAGAATGTTTATAAAATTTCATATCTATCTACACTCCGTAGAAATTGAATAAGAGTTATCCAGCAAGACAATGTACATGTTGTAAGTATGGATTTGTTTCTGCAGTCTTTAACTATATGTTGTGATTTTACCCACCGGTCAAAGCCTTTTGGTTAAAAATGATTTCTGAAATAAAACATATGACTTCAAATAGACTACCTCTAAAGGTCATTTTATTTGGAATTATAGGTGATGAAATACCTGCAGTAAATAAAATTATACATGATTTATTAACCACTGTAAGACTTTTAGTTGCTAAAAAAGAGGAAGAAAGCCAAAGTAATGACTATTAAATCTTGGATTAAGGAAGTATGGTACCTAGTCAAATTGCTGAAGTTAAACGAACTTGTATGTCTAAGGGACAAAAGGTAGAAAGCACCTTCTCTTTTTAAACAATCTCCTTTTCTGGATTGCTGGTACCAAACAAGAAGTATGATTATTTACATCTACAATTGCTCTTCTTTGGTGTGATAGTTGTTGTAATTTTGTTTGACATTTATACTGTATTTGCTTTATATTTAAATAAAAATCTGTAATATGGGTAGAAATTAGGCAAATCTTCCTTAATAACACTTTATCGTTAACTTCCCCCTACTATTAAGGGCCAAAGTAGACAAGTTAGTGCATGATCCATGAAGATAATTTCTTGTGACATTTTTAAATGCTAAAAGTAGTCATAGGGATAATATAAGCCCAAACTGGATCAAGACCACAATGCAGAGGGAGAGGAGCCAAATCTTCCCACTGTGCCATTTTCTCAATTGAAGTCACCTCTTCCCACTCCATGATAAAGTCTGCCCTCAATACATGTTTGCAAATTTATCTGCAGTCAGCTCTGGGGCAGGAGATGATAATTTGGATTAGGGGCAATGGCACAGAGGAAAGCATCCAACACCTTGCTCCCTCAGTGTTACGGCCCTGATCCAATTTGGGGTCCCGCATGGCTATTTTTTAATAAAGCAGTTGATAAACAAAACCCATGATACAGATTACTAAAGGAAGCACATCCATATCAGAAAACAAGAGACTCTTACTGCAGATTTTGTTTAGCCTACTACTTAACCTACAGTATTTAACTGCCGAATCATCAGTGGAAGTATACAGAAAAAACAATGTGGTGAAGTTTGGTCTGTGTTGCTTGGAGAGTACACCTATTGTTTGACTAGATTTAGACTAATATGATATTACCTTTATGGGATGTTGTTGACAGTGGTCTAAATGTGGACCCAGAATGCAAAGGGTATCTTGGATAACTGAAGTTTAAATAATAGATATTCTACGAAATGTTAACATGCAAAAATACATTTTGTGGCACAGTGCATGAAACTGAACACTGTAAAGGTGCATTTGAAACAAGTCTGATAATTGCCTAGATATTATTAACAGGTATTAGCACTTGGGCTTTTTAATGTCGATTCATTTTATATTGCTAATTCTATGTCTCACGTAATTCACTACTTATGTAAACTGAACTTTTAAAAGTATTTGCCAACTTTAAGCACCCCATAATGAAGTAAAGGGCTGGAGTGCTATTGTACACTTACTTCAGAAGCCTAAAACAATAAAAAAATACTTAGAACAGATTTGCAATGAAATAGCTACTTCATGTATACATAAAATTTAGATATGTCTTTAATTTAAATGTTTTCCAAGGTGAATTGGAATGGTTTAAAAATAAGCTTTTAGAAAACAAGATGAAAAAGTATAAAAAGAAAAGATTTTACAAACTTGACATTGTGTTTTAACACTAGATTTTGCTTGGAACTGTCACTTTTGTGTGAGGTTTCTAGACATAAGGACAATTTCAGTAGCATTATAGTTTATGGGTTCTATTCCTGTACAATTTTTGGATGCAGGTGCTGCTGAAACATGATACAAGCAGCCCCGTAGCCAGAAATTTTGGGTTAGTGGGGCATGGGGAAATTTTGTGGGTCAGCAGGCGAGAGGCGGAAGGGGGGGGGGCAGCCGCATGTCTTCCCTGAACTCCAAGCAGAGATTTCTTTAAATTTAAAACAAAATTAAAAGAAAATTTCAAGCAGGGGCTGCCTGCGCCTGAACTCCAAGTGGCGAAATCGCTGCTTAGAATTCAGGGAAGGTGTGCAGCTGCCCCTCCCCCTCCCTTCCTGCAAGATTTAAACGGCCGTCCAGCTGATCGGCGCGGGCCATGTGCTCCTGCCAACCAGCTGGAGGGCACTTTAATGTCACAGGAGGGGAGGGGAGGGGGGAGGGGAGAGAGGGGCAGCAGATGTTGTGGGCCGTGGCTCACATTTGAGGGGGCAGAGCCCTGAAATGCCCACCGTAGCTATGGGCCTACAAGTGATACAAGTGATATTTCATATCAAATAGACAGATCTCCAACTATCCATACTGATTACGTCTTCACCCCAGATTAGTGGTTTTGCCCGTTCTTCTCATGGTTTAACTAGCATCTAATTATGTACAACAGAGCCACTTCAGATCACTTCAGGTTGTACAGCCAGGGTCTTGGAATCAGACGTAAATGAGCATTTGGGGTTTTGTGAGCATTTGCTCCAAGTCACATTTTTGTTTCAGTTCAGGCAAAGCCAACGGAGCCGTCTGTCTCTTCTTCAAACTTCACAACCAGCAGGGAGGATAACACAACTGCAAAGTCAGGTAAGCATATATAAGATAAGCCAAAATTAGGAGATGCCTTTTGTTTTTGTGCTGTTTTTCACCATAGTGGAGAGGTGGGTTAAGTGAGCTCATTTGGCCATACTGGAAAAATGTCAAGAATGCAACTGAGTTACTTGGGTAAAGGCTGAAGTGTGTCGTTTTTACTGCCTAGTAGCCTTGCTGTGGCATTCTTCAGGGGCAATAACTTAATGCAATGTGCTTCACAGAACAATTTTGGTGGGATGATGACACAGTAAAGTCTACCTGTCTTGGTCATGACCATTGCTGGTGAATGTTCCATCACACATCAAGATCAGCTACTAGGCATCCCCTTGTTCAAGTCAGATTTTGAAAGGTTTTAAGGATGTAGTGAACTACTTATGTTGAGAAATCTCCACTATCTCATTGTACTATGTTCCTTCCAGTCAGCAACTGATTTGGGCCATGAGCCATATCCCATGGGGTGTTAAGTAGAAAGCAGGGAGCCAGATCTACTCCACACCTCTTTGCTGCTGTCCAGAAGAGGTGCCACACAGAGTGCTCCTTGCTACTGAACAGGATTCCAGGATATACTACAGATTCATTCAGGGCAGTAGCACCACAAGGCCAAAAGTAGCATACTGGAAAGTTGTGTACCACTTATGACGCAGTTGACTGCCTCACATGAAGTGAGGACACACACAACATGAACTGAGCATGCATTCCAGATGTGAAGCACTTAAGTTTATGGCTACCTCGTGCCTCCAGGGTGAGTAGTGGTGAACACAGGAGGTAGATGAAGTGGCACCCTATAAGAGACCTCAGTTGGTCCCAGGGAAGGTAAAGGTAAAGGTTCCCTTGCTCGAAAGCCAGTCGAGTCCGACTCTAGGGTTGCGGTGCTCATCTCTGTTTCAAAGCCGAAGAGCCAGCGCTGTCCGAAGACGTTTCCGTGGTCATGTGGCCGGCATGACTAAACACCAAGGTGCACGGAACGCTGTTACCTTCCCACCGAAGCGGTACCTATTTATCTACTTGCAATTTCTTGCTTTCGAACTGCTAGGTTGGCAGGAGCTGGAACTAGAGATGGGAGCTCACTCTATCATGCAGCACCCGGGTCTCGAACTGCTGAACTACTGACCTTCCACAGCCTGCAGTTCAGCATCTTAACCACTTGAGCCACCGCAGCTCCTGGTCCCAGGGAAAGGGGTTGTTAAATCCTGTTCTATTTGTTCAAAGACTATAGCACATAATCCATTATCTTCAAAAGCAACAGAGATTCAAGTATTGGTTAAGTCAGTTTGGCAATGAGCTTAAAAGTGTCTCAGTTCTGTGCAGGGAACTGAATACACAGTTGTTTCCACTAGGGAAGGTTCCACATGGAAGTCAAAACAGCTGTATGGACAGCAAAATACACAATTGAACATTCATTCAACTGGCTTATAATATGAGTGGAATTGTTTATTTATTATTAATTTATTTCTTCATTAAAATATTTAATGACTTTCCTTGTTGTTCAAGGCAGCTTACAAATTACCATTTAAAATGTACAAAATAAAACTCCAAATAACCCCCTCCCTCTACAAAATCCCTATAAACTTCAAATCAAAATTATTTGAAATATACATGAGAGCATTAATTTATAAAAAGCATTGACCTAGATTAAAAAATGCCCTAAGTTTGTTCTTAGAAGTGTCATATAGTTAATGTGGCTTTAGGATCTTTGAATAACAAGAAAGTACTTGTACCATTGCCCCAGTGCCATGGTAAGCAGAGTTATACACACACACACACACACACACAACCTTTATTGGCATGAAAGCACAAAACATCATGGAAATACGGGAAAATACTAAGATGCATCAGTCACTTACACTTGGCTATTCAAGCCTCGTCTTCTGATTGCGTAATATAAAAATGTTACAACAGCCTCCATGATTTCGCAATTAGAATGAAACAGAAGAAAGTGAACAACTGAGTCATCTAGAAGTGGAGTAGTAAAATGAGATCGGATATCCCTATAGAGGGGACAATGAAGTACGGTGTGTGTAGTGGATTCTATATCTTTTAGAGAGCCCTAAGTACAAAGTCTGTCTACATATGGTATCTGGCGGTACCTCCCTAAAAGCACCTCTGATGGCAGAACATTAAAGCGTGCAAGCATGTATGCTCAAGCATAGTTACACCCCCCTCTAAGACCATTGATTTCAATGGATTTAGAACGGTATTATTTTAGAATATATATCTCCCACATTCTTCCAGATTGTTGGGTTTAATTCTCTTTAGGATGGCACTGGTAGCTGAAGAAAGCGGAAGGCAAGTTGTGTCTAATGACAGCATCAATTTTTTCCCCAGGAAATGAGAACTGAAGATTCTCAGGGGAATTCAGGGAGAGTAAATACACACAGTGAATGCAATCGGTTCTTACATATGTAAATAGCAAATCAAGGGCTGATTCTGCTGTCAAATCTCCCTTCATATTTCTGATAGGCCATCGGCCTATAAAATGTGTCTGTCATATAAACCCTTTATAAAAACAATTGCTGAACTGCTATAGGGTGTTTCTAACAGAAGGCATCAAGGAGGCTTTCAAACCCCACCCCACCCCACCCCCCCAGGTGTTCCTCAGACATCTCATCTCTCTGCACTATCGATTTCCTGGACCCCAGTTGCCAAGAAGAGAAAATAGCTCAGAATTTCTCTTTTATGCTATTTTGTCTGCTAGGTGGGATGACTGGGCAAGATACAAATGGGCAAAAAAGGGTTAGGGGTCCAAAAGCAGCGTCAGGGATTCAAAAGGAAGTTGTCCTTGGGACCAAAGGAAGAACAGACAGTGAACTGCTTTGAGGAGAACAAAGTAATTAGGAAACAAACGAACCAATATAAACAGTAGAACACAATATTAGAAAACCGCTGCTGCGAACACTTAAGAAAGGTCACGGGATGGTTCCAACAAAGCCTGGGCTTGTTAATAAGACGCTGTGAGGCATTTGCGAGCTTTTTTGCAGATATAGTCTTGTCACTCCGCCGCAACCTCCCCGCCACAATTGAAACAGTGAATGAACTTGAGGCTCCATGCACGTCTCCTAGCCTCCAGTTCCCTTACTGTCTCAGGGTGAACAGTATCCCAGGGCACAATGGTGCATAATTAACTTTGTAATCTGGATGCTGGTGTATGCAACCACAGTCCATATCCACAGGGTCATTCAGAGTGCAGTGGTCTCCAGTTCACCCACACATGGCTATCAAGGAGTATGATCTGCTTCCTTCTTTTGAGACACAGGTATCCCCAAGGGGGAAAGATACCTGCCATTTCCAGGGATGCCACCTACATTACCAGGTATATGCTGTTATACCCAACTACCCGGTTGTTTGCGGATATGACCCAGGTCCCCTGGTGGTTATCAGTCCCAATGGGTGGTACTTAGCATGCCTCTAGTTTTTGAGGTTACCCTGAACTTCATGCTGTCGCCTCTGTGACATTTTCATCAAAGTGGCAGGAAGCTGTGTGGGTGGCAGCTTGTGTTTGCACCCATTCCAACTGATAGGGGCTGATAGAGGACTGAGCAGGATGGGGGTTGTTTTCTTGAGCAACATCTTCCTGGACGTATTGGTCAGATCTGGAGATTTCTGCATCAGCCTAGCCCAGGATTCATATTGTCACTGGCTTCAATGAACTCCACTGGCAGCTAATACAACCCTTGAGCTTTTAGGCTTATCAGTGTGATTGCTTCTTGCATTCTGGAAGCATCATGGATCTATGAATTCAACACAGAGTCCAAATCATTGGTTCCTTCATGACTCTTCAACCCACACATATTTTATGCTTATTTATTAAAATATGTGCAGCCTGCCTTTCCTCATGGTTCAAAGGGAGTTACAAATGCAGTTAAAACATGGTTCAAATATACAAAATAAAATTGCAGATAACCCCCTTCAAAGAAAATGGCCTTGCAGCATCTCATGAAAAATTCTATATTTTCTCCCCCATGGCAATTTCATGACTGGCTGAGCAAGATTTCTGATTCCCGGAGAGCAACAGAAGGTGGAAGTGAGAACCACTCCTCTTCACTGCTTGAAATGTTTACCTGGACTGTGAGCTATCTTTGGTGTGGTGGTTAAGTGCACGGACTCTAATCTGGGGAAACCGGGTTTGATTCCCCTCTCCTCCACTTGCACCTGGCTGGATGACCTTGGGCAAGTTGTAGTTCTGATAAGAGCTGTTCTTGAAAAAGAGCAGTTTCTGTCAGAGCTCTCTCAGCCCCACCTAACTCACAGGGTGTCTGTTGTGGAGAGGGGAAGGGAAAGGAGTTTGTAAGCCGCTCTGAGACTCCTTTGGGTAGTGAAGGGCGGGGTATAAATCCAATCTCTTCTTCTTCTTCTTCTGTATGTGTGTGTGGGGGGCTTTGCTTTGAGTCTTTAAAAATGAAAAAAAATATTCAAAAGAGAAAAGGTATGTCTGTGTACATAGCCCCCCAGAGAACAATAACCAACACCCTCCCCCCAATATTCCAGCCAGGATTTCCTCCTTTGTACAAAGCTCCAACAGGAATACCTCTCATACAGAAAACAAGAGCTGTTATTTTCCTGTCATCTCAACTGCAGCACCTGATAGAAACCTCATCCCAATAATCCCTCTCTTCTCTGCTTCTTTCCTTCAGAAGCCGAGAGGTTACGTCTAGTGGATGGAGGAAGCCGCTGTTCTGGCAGGGTGGAGTTCGAAGAGGGTGGTGTCTGGGGCACCGTCTGTGATGACCACTGGGACCTGACGGATGCCGGTGTTGTCTGCCGGCAACTGGGCTGTGGATGGGCCATTCAGGCTCTGAATGCCTCTTTTTTCCAAAAGGGAACAGGCCCCATTCATCTGGACGAAGTAAAATGCTCAGGGAATGAATCTTATTTGTGGGACTGTTCCTCTGAGAAGAACCATGACTGTGGGCACAAGGAAGATGCTGGTGTGGTGTGTTCAGGTATTTTCCCCATGTTTATGTGTTTGGCAGCGAGTACCATTGTCAGCTGGAACATAATCCAGGCATAGCCAACTTCTTAAACCATTCTTACTGGCCAGACTGCGCAGCAAGAGGCCCCAAAGTGAAGTAGGAGAAGACAAGAAGACAGCTTCTTCATCTGGCCAGCTTCAAATGAGGGCAGAAAGGGCACAACTGTCCCCCTTCCTGCTTCAAGACTGCAACTCCATGGAGTAGAACAAATAATTGTTGTTGTTGTAGACCACCCTCCCCCACATGGGCTCATGGCAGTTAAACAACATTTAATTAATACATTATAGGGTTGCCAAGTGGCACTTACCTCTTCCGAGGGGGACTCCCGGGTGGCTCCCGGAGCATGCACATCACCAGGAAGTGACGTTATGACGCCGGGCACGCTGGGGGCGATGCCACGACCATACAAGGGAAAACCATAGAGTGTTCCCTTTTATGGCCGTGGCCCTGCCCCCAGCGTGCTCGGCATGCCCACGTCACTTCCTGGTGACGCGCACGTCGGGGAGGAGTTTCCCCCGAGGCCCAATCCGGCAACGCCAGGGAACGGGCCTTTGGGGCAGGGGTTTCCCCGCCCCCCGGGGGGACTTGGGATCCCTAATACTTTATAATATTTTTAAAAATTAAAGCAATAAAATAGTAATAATCAACTCATTCAACTATTCAGATGGCATCTAAACAACCAATACCGTTACCCCCCCCGGGGGGAGGAAGGAGAAGGGAGGGCAGGCTTGATGAGAGACCATTGCTGTCCTCAGCCATAGGCCCGGTGGAACATCTGTGTCTTACAGGCCCTGCAGAATCGCTTTAAGTCCTGCAGTGCATGGATGTCATGAGGCAGAGAGTTCCGCCAGACTGGTGCCAGGTCTGAAAAGGCCCTGGATCTGGTTGAGGGCAGCCGGATAGCCTTTGGGCCAGGGATCACCAGGAGGTTCTGGTCCCCGGAGCGTAATTCTCTTTGGGAGGTATACTCGGAGGGGCAGTCCCGCAGATACGCTAGTCCCAGACCATTTAGGGCCTTAGGATCTGATTCAGTCCTCAGCCCGGAGCCAGTGCAGCTGGCAAAGCACTGGTTGAATATGTGCCATTGATGGCGTCCAGTAAGGGCCTGAGCTGCTGCATTCTGGACCAGCTGTATGAAAGCACAAGAAGAAATTAAAGTATTTCCACTGCATGGAAACTGTTTGATGGAAGAAGTCACCTTGCATCTTTCTTCTCTGCACTCTGATGGGCTGGTGTAATCAGGAAATAGTGCAGGAACATTGGGGCTGTTTTCACACATGGTGCCAAAATCGCCTTTGAGCTATGTGCCAGCCTGCGACATTTTTTGATCTTATCTGAAAAGTCAAAATGGCATTCCCCTGCTCTTGATTAGAGCTCATTTTTCAAATGATAAGAGGTAGAGGCAGGAAAATCATGGTGTCTTGTCTAGAATCTGATGCCTGAAAAGGCTGTCGCTTCCTAGAAAAGCTGCCTCGGTCTCGGCTTCTCATACGTTATTTGTTTGCGTGTCTCAGCATGATCAGTGTGGGGCAGAAAGCAGAAGAGAGCAATATAGATAAATGAACAGACATCCAACCACGGCACATTTTAAATTTGCCTTCCTTTCGTTTCCAGCTCATCACCTCTGAATGTTGTGATACGGGAAGCCAAAGAGAGACGGTTTTAATTAATGTTTCATCAATGCAGCTTTTTCATTTGATTTGCAAACGCAGGAAATTACTGTAACATTTCTAGTATCACTTATGAAAATGCCCTGCGTGTGCCGGCTCTGCCTTGAGACCATGACGTCTGATGAGTTCTGAGCTCCTGGCCCTGGCAAGCGTATCACAGCCAATAACATTTTGCCAGCTGTTTTTCTTCTGCTGACTCAGCTCCCTTTTCTCTCCCCCCCCCCACCCCTTTGATAGATCACCAGGAGTGGCGCTTATCAGGTGGACGAGATGCTTGTGCTGGCCGAGTGGAGGTCTACTACAAGGGTGTCTGGAACACCGTATGCGATAGTAGCTGGTACCAACAACAGGCCAATGTGCTCTGCCGCTTCTTGAAGTGCAGCAATGGGGCCTTAGAGCCAAAGGTGCCCTTTGACCATACACTGCTGGGAAAGATGTATTACGACTGTTCTGGAAATGAAAGCTCACTCGCCCAGTGTTTATGGCGCTACAACAACTCCAATCTGTGTGACCAGTCCAGAGCTGCTGGGGTGATATGTAATGGTAATTAGTGCCTGAGCCTCAGTTGCCTTCTCTTCTCTCTCTCTCTCTCTCTCTGATTGCAGCAGCAGAAGTAAATAATAATGGAGAGAGAAGACACTTTGTCCGTTTAATTCCCCACCACCATATGTTTGGGTCTTGTCCTTCTCTCAAGAGTCAAAGACTTGTCCGCACTATTACCTAGCCAAACATGAGGTTGCATCTTGTGATTTGTGGATGCGAGGACCACTGATCTTTCTAGCACTCCCCTTCCCCCAGAAGTCCCTTTTGAACACAGGACATTTTATTCCCAGGATCATGGGGACCATAAGGTCTAATAGCCACATGTGTGTCAGGCAATGCTCCCTCTAAGCTGTGGAGTCTTGTGAGCAAAAATTCTACCTTGTGAGCTGCTGGCATTAAAGTTGTGAGCAAGCAATTTGGCTGCTGTATAAATTAGTTTGCTCTGGAGCTATCCTTCCTGATCTAAGACAAAAATGTGTGAGCTGGAGGCTAAAAAACTGCAAGCTAGCTCACACTAACTCACCTTAGAGGGAACACTGGTGTCAGGAGGCTTCAGGGAGAGGGGATGAAATTGCCCTCTCCTCTTTCTTCCATCGATGGAGCTGTGTGGATGGAAGAGGCATAAAGGGTGATTTTATGCCCTTATCCCTCCAAAGGTCCCATGAACATGGGAAAGTTTATTCCCAGGATCAGAAAGAACTGGGATCTATAACCATCAGCACCATCAGTGGATAGACCATGGTCTCAAACTCACTAATCCAGTTTAACACATCTCACTGCAGTGCTGTCTTTGTCAGGTGAAATGGCACACCAGACTCTGACACCTGTCAATCTGATACAAAATTGGAAACTCCACCTTAGCTGTGACTGCAACGTGCAGGCAGAGCCAATCATGGGGGCTGTGGGGGCTGCGTTTTCACTTTTTCTCCTACTCGCTTTCTTTATTCCCATCGGTACAAGAAATGATACAAGTGCTCCCGTGAGCCAGCTTACAGCTTCTCCACAGCAACAGCAGGGGTAAACAAAGGGGTGGTGCTTTCTTCCTCCTTGACAATGTCAGGGAAATGTGCAATTTTTGTTAAGAGCAATTTGATATTGACCAGACTGCCAGTCTTTCTCTCTTTATGTCCAAAGGCGGCAGCCTGCATGACCCACCAGGAAGCTGTGCAGGTACAGAAACAGACACAGGGAAATGTTTTGTAGATGATCGTGAAACTGAACTATAAGGAAATATGACCAGGATGGTCTGCAGTTAAGACACCCTACTATAGCAGATGTGAGCATTATCAAGAGAAATAGAAGAAATCATGCAAGATTCATCAAGATTCTCAGATTTCTTAACCTTTTGAGAAAAATTAGATGAGCCTGCATAGTCTTTCTTAAAATAAAAAAGAAAACACTTCCAGTCTGGATTAGATGGGAAAAAGAAAGAAAGAAAGAAAGAAAGAAAGAAAGAAAGAAAGAAAGAAAGAAAGAAAGAAAGAAAGAAAGAAAGAAAGAAAGAAAGAAAGAAAGAAACTATAGGAGAGAGAACTGAACATATTGGATAGGATGGAGGGGGAAGAAGCAAATACTCAGCTAGAGGACAATAGTGCAGAACAGCTTTAGCACGGCAAGATGCAACTAACAGATCTTTTGGTATCTGTCACTGAAAAAGGGTGTTTATCTGGGCAAAATAAGCAGAACTTTTCCCAGTACAGATGGTAGCCACATGATCTAAGCAGGAGTTGCATTGGACTGTTTCCTTGCCATGATAGAGTTTGGCTTCCCTGTGGGGTAGCTGTGATGTCAGCTGGCAACAGCTCTGCCAGAATCTGGAAACGCTCTGATCAGAAGGCAGAATATCAGGATAGTTTGTTGCCTGGAGGTGCAGAAGCAACCATCCCAGTGCAATAAGAGTCCTTCCAGCATGCTCTGACTGGAAGGACTGGAAGGACTGTTCTTTTCGCTCTTGCATCCCTGGCCTGTGATGTGCTTCATCCCATACAGATCCTTGCTGAGGGGAACTGACATGTGACCCACACAAGGTGTGCAGACGGCTTTGCTGACTACATGAGCTCAGTGTGAAGGCTTGGGGGAGGGGGGGCACTGGACTTTCCCCTGGACAGTCCCAGTGCTTTCAGACATGGATGGCAGCTCCCAGCCTGGATAATGAGCATGGCTAATTGTATCTCTGTTGTCTTCTCTATTGTTTCTAGTTCTTTATTCTCACATGATCTCCTTCTGGTTTTTAGGCTCACAGGGTTTGCAGACCTCTACATATCCAAACACAGGGACTCCAGGCAGCCCCCTGCCCACTACACGTGAGTGCAAGTCTCTTCAAGGAGATTTCTTTTATATCTAATGCAACCCCAATGTAAAATGGCTGCATGTTGTGACTTCCAGTACAAAAAAGAAGATCCCCCCATGGAACATTCAGTCCACTACACATCGCTTCCTGCTTGCCATTTCTAGCAGTTATCTCAGTGGACATGTGTCTGCTTCAGGCCTGCTCCATATCTGCAGAACAAGTGAAGCAAATAAAGGTGTCTGAGCCAACACTACACCATAGGCCAAGCTGATGGGAGAGTCGTGCAACAAGGGGGAAATGTAGACATTGTGGGGACATACATATTCACTTTAAGTCATGATGGTGAAAGGCCTAAAAGGACAAACCCAGCAATAAAATGATTGACATGCCCTATGTAGAGCTCAAAGTTTTACTCCCAGTCTTCGTAAAGAACATTTCAGCTAATGGCAGAACAAAGCAGCCTTTGCAGTTAGGCTGGAGGCAGGGGATAATTTTCCAGAGTTAAAAGCATGATTTGAGAGACATCACTTGCTAAGGTATACCACCAGAGGTCATTTTGTAGAAAAAGAGGTGCAGGAGCTCATTAGCATAACTTATTTGCATATGCCACACCCCCTGACATCACCGGAAGCGTATCAGAAGGCAACACCCTTTGTTGCATGTGCCCGCCCCCTGGGCTCTTTACTGCTGGAGCTCCGTTCCTGTGCGCTCCTGCAGGAAATGGCCCCTGTATACCACACATACATTTCTCCTGCTGTTGCCTCTAGTTAAATATGTTTTGCAGGCTCCTGGTGACATAGTAGTGGGACACATAATAGTCTAACGACAAGCAGTGTTCCCACATTCAACCCTCTGAAAAAAGAACCACATGTTTCCAGCCTCAGGGTCTTGCACTCTCCAGCATGTCAAGTAGTATAACCTTCTTTCTAGCTGGAAGTAATCACAACTTCTAAAATGTAGTTGCTATCCATCCAATATCTGTCAGTTTCCAAACTGAAAACTTTCCCTCCATTCTGCATCTGTATTGACTCAGTCCTGGGTGGGTATGGTGAGGGTATGTGGCTAAAGGAAGGGCTACACAGATAGGGCAATCGTCCAGACCAGGGGTCCTCAAACTTTTTAAACAGGGGGCCAGTTCACTGTCCCTCAGACCGTTGGAGGGCCGGACTATACTTTAAAAAAAAAACTATGAACAAATTCCGAGCAGGGCTCTTCCAGACAGCCCTCGCCCGCGCAGCCCTCCCAGGAGCCCTTGGTGGGATCCACAGAGGAGACCCTCTATTGCAGGATAAATAAACACCCGGCGGGCCAGATAAATGTTTTCGGCAGGCCGCATGTGGCCCACGGGCCGTAGTTTGAGGACCCCTGGTCCAGACCCTGTGTGTGTGTGTGGGGGGGGAGACTGCATTTCCCACAGTGGAGTTGGTGCAATTTGCAGGACTTAGTCAAAGCTCAGTATCTTGTGAGTAGAGGAGATCATTCTATCAGTGTTTTTTGGCTTTATCTCAGCAGCTTAGCTCTTATCTGCACTCCTGGATTTCTGCAGATCTGAGGTCCATTGGATGATCATCTGTTTTGCGAGGTCTCCTGCTTCCATTCTGGCATGGCCCTGCCGCCTCTGTTTTTGATCACTGCAGTGATGGGCAGAGATTAGCAATGGTGCTGCTGTAGCAAGGCACGCCGTGCTATGCTACATTTAAAGAGAGACACATTTTCTATCCACCATTTTAAGAAAGAACAAGAGAAGCAGAGAAATGCACAAATTCAGACACTGCCTTAGAAGCACCTTCTCCCTTTCTCTCCCACCTTTGACTATCTCTCCATTTTGCAGGTTTGGCTATACGTGAGAACTGGGGAGACAAGATACCATCATACCAGATGTTGCTAATCCTCTGCATCATCCTGGGTCTTCTCCTTTTTTTGGCCATGCTGACTCTTATTGTTGTACTGAATAAACGAAGGAAACACGATACCCTCGGTAGGCTGGGCATCACCAACATCGGAGAGGGGAAACGCATTTTATGGGAAATTTCCTGGGCGACTGTATATACTGTATACTGTAATTTGGGAAATATTAAAGGAAGACTAAACAATGGCCTTCAAACCCACGACAGATAACCTTTTGGCAGAAATCAAGGCAACTGTAAAGTATCATGTGGATCAGACCGTTGCCATAGGATCACACAGCAGATTTTGCAAAGTTCTCAGACCCTTTTCAGATATATAGGTACATAAGGCTCTATTCAGTTACAATTTGTGAAGTGAATGAGCCTTAAATTCTCAGGTTTACACAGTCTCCACCACCCCCACCCCCTATTTTGGGCACAGTTGAAGGCTTCCTGGTTTAGAAAAACTTTAATCTAATGTTGTGATATCTGAATTCTGGTGCCTTAACAACTATCCTGGTTTAGGATCCCAGTTACTGGGAAAGAAATAAACTCCAATTTGCTAAGGCAGCTGAATTTGGACAGGTTTCACAGTCACAGGCAAAAATAATTACAATCCCTGAATTGTCTGAGCTGGAGATGTACTGGAGATGAAGAAAGGCAAGAAACAGGCAACAAGAGTTTTGGATGAAAACGGTTGTACTGTGGAGTATCTTCTCTCCATTGGGAAGGATGGCTCTCAGCAGTGATAGGGTGAAAACCCTGGGGCACAGAAAGCCTTACCTTGTTTGCTTTCCCTGTTTCTATTTGCAGCCCATGCCATTTCCTCGGCTTCATTAAGTGTTCCAGTCCTAATGAATCACAGCATGCCGGTCTCAGGGATGACTATTGGAGTGGGTAACGACTATCGGGAAATGCCCACAAGTGTTCCCAAAGGAGAAGGTATCCAGAGCTGACACTTATTTCTCCCTCATTCCACCTTTCCATTTTTCTCTCTCTCCTTCCTTCCTGCCAGCTTCCTCTTTCCATGCAGTAGTTGCTCATTAGCTGTGCCAGATCCATGTCTTTGCTCTTTCCCAGCATTCACAGCACAAGATATGGAAAAAAAATATGATTCTTTCCTCAGCTATTGGGAATCATGGGAGAACAGTCTGGAATGAAGCTATGTGGGTATTACTAGCATCTGAAAGACATTGCCCATAATGCCATTTATTTAAGTGTGGTGATGCAGGCCCCCTCTCCATGCCTGTGTCAAGTTCTGACCCTAACATAAGGTAGGAGCTTTTGTGTATTGAGGAGGCAGGAGAGAATGGTCAAACAAAAGAAGGTTTATTCAAAGCATTGCTCAGCTCTGGACTGGACTGGACAGCTCTGCATAGAGAGGCACTCAAATTTATACGATTTCATAGTGAACTATATACATTGTGACAGTAAACACGGGGTCTCATTGGACCTAAGCAGAGTTCTACAATTGGTTACCCTGGGTGGCTTCGGGACCAATGGATGGTCTTTATTAGACAGCCAATCATAATGCGAAAACTAGGATACCAAGATACTTCAAACAGCATAACATCAGGAGTCTTTGGGGCTGGAGCGCACTGGAGCGCCGCTCCGTGAGCCCTGGAGCTGGCAAAATGGCGGTGGCAGCAAGCCCCACCCCCAGCTCCCCGCGCTATGGCCCGTTGCTGTTTTTCCGGGGCCCACGCCAAAGCGCTGCGGCCCTGGGGAGGCC